AGAAGTGGGAGAAGAGGAAGGTGGGAGCCAGTACACGCAGTAAGCCAGCTATCAAACGCAGCAGCGTGGGGGGTGGGGTTGGGAGGCAGGAATGGCTCCCCGCATGGACCAGCTCCTGGGGAGCCACCTGCTATCTGCATGTAATCTTGTAACTGCTGACATTTTCAGTGGTTACACAGTTACTTAAACTCATTTTAACAGCCCTAGCCTTAATGCTGCTGACCAAGAGCTGTGTGAGCCCAACCTCTCACCACACCCGGAGTGCCCACAACCCAGAGCCACCTCCTACACTACAAAACCTTCATCCCTGGGCCCACCCTAGAGTCCTCACCCTCTCCTTCACCCCAACCCATTGCCTTAAACTGCAGAACCCATGAGCATGGGCCATGTAGAGCCTGTTCTCCGCCACCATCAAATGGGAACTGCCCCAAATAACTGCTCCACACCCCAACCCCTGAGGCCCTAGCCCTGAGCCCCCTCATACATCCCGTATTCTAACTCAGAAACCCAAACTGAGCCAGCCCCACTGCCCTAGCTCCCTCCTAAATCTCCCATCTCAACACTGAGCCCCCTCCTGCACCCTAACTCCCACCCAGATCCTGCATTTCCACCTAAATCTGCCCAGAACCCACTTTTACACTCCAAACATCTCATCCCCAGCCTCAGTCCAGATCCCGCACTCTCAAAAACAGACCTAATGCCACCCAACCAGGAGCCCCCCTCTTAAAATCTCAACTCCTTAGCTCCACCTGCGCACATCATCTCCATATTGGTACACATAACAAAACTGATTCCATACATGGATATACAAAATTAGAAGGAAGACTGCTCCTGAGTGGCATAGGACTGGAAGAGACCTTGAGAGGTCATAAGAACAGAAGAATGGCCATCAAGGGTTAGACCAAAGGTCCATCCAGCCCAGTATTCTATTTGCTGACACTGGCCAATACCAGATGCCTCAGAGGGAGGGAACACAACAGGTATTCCTCATGTGATCCCTCGTCTGTCACCCACCTCCAGAGAAACAGAGGTTTGGGATACCATTCCTACCCATCCTGACTTATAGCCATTGATGGACCTAACCTCCAAGAATCTATCTAGGTCTTTTTTGAACCCTGTTACAGTCCTAGTCTTCACAACATCCTCTAGCAAGGAGTTCCACAGGTTGATTGTGCGCTGAGGAACAACTTCCTGTTGTTTGTTTTAAAGCTGCAGGCTATTAATTTTATTTGGTGACCCCTAGTTCTTATATTGTGGGAATAAGTAAATACATTTTCTTATGTTCTGTTCACTTTTTCTACACCAGTCATGATTTTATAGATCTCTATCAGTGTTTCTCAACGTTTTTTTGTAAAGTACCACCTTAAAAAAAATAAGTATTCCCAGTACCTACAGTTTTCAGAAACACAATTTTTTCTACCATTGCAACATATTTGTTTAAACAACTTAATCGTAGCCAGGTAGGCGATGAAATTTTTGGGTGTAAAAAGCACAAAAATAATGAAGTGCTGTAAAACTTAAAACAAAAATTCAGTTTTCTCCAAATTTCAGTTGTGTTGACATACCCCCCAGACTTCTCTCGAGTACCCCTAAGGGCACTTGTACCACTGATTGAGAAACATTGCTCTATCATCTCCCCCCCGTCTCTTTTTTAAGATGAAAAGTCCAAATCTTTTTAATCTCTCTTCATATGGGACCCATTCCAAACTCCTAATCATTTTTGTTGCCCTTTTCTGAACCTTTTCCAATGCCAATACATCTTTTTTTTTTTTTTTTTACACATCTGTATGCAGTATTCAAGATGTGGGCATACCATGGTTTCATATAGAGGCAATAAGATATTTTCTGTCTTATTCTCTATCCCTTTGTTAATGATTCCTAACATTCTATTTGCTCTTTTCACTGCCACTGCACACTGGGTGGATGTTTTCAGAGAACTATCCACAATGACTCCAAGATCTCTCTCTTGAGTAGTTGTACTAAATTAGTCCCCATCATATTGTATGTATCGTTGGGATTATTTTTTCCAATGTGCATTAATTTATCAACAGTGAAATTTTGTTGCCAAATCATTTAGTTTGGTGATCTTACTGAAGCACATAAAGCTCATAAAATTTTGAAGGTCATAAAGTTCGTCTCCTACATTCACAGAAGGACCAAGTACCACCTAGGCCAGAGGTCGGCAACATACAACATGCATGCCGTAAGTGGCATGCAAGATGATTCTGAGTGGCATGCAGCTGCCTCCTGATCTGGAAGCCATGCATGGCCAGGCTCTCCCCAGCACTGCTCCCGGGGGCCTGCAAGTCCCAGCACTGCTGCCCTACTGGTCTGTGCACTGGGGGCACAGGGATGTGGGGCAAGAGGTGGGGAGCGAAGG